ATTTCTGTTGAGTTGAGTCCCATCCGGGATTCGAACCCACACCCTCAGAGTCAGGCACCTAATCGCCACAAAGCACACAAAGTCAGCCGCTTAACCCGCTCAACCACAAAAAATGGAAGTCGAACAACTGGTAGTCCAGACCACGGACTTTGTGTACCCCTCTGATGAGTGTAAACTGGCAAACGATCTACAGAACAGTTGTCTTCGAAATGGTTTCTATAAATATTTTGACGCAAATGAAATTTCAAACCGACCTTATGGGTAAGTTTACAAAGAATGTGCCTCGGATGTGGAGAGGTGCTTATTGACATATTTTGTTGACGAGGGAGGCAATTTCACACCACGTAACCAACAAACACAACTCAGCTTTTCTATACGACGACAGTTTTCAAGCGTGGATACCGACTTCTGCTTCATGGGACACGGGTGATTTGCAAATTATTGTTTCTATTTGTCAATAAAAATTACTGGCAGTCAGGATTATAAGTGATAATCCGATGCCTGGTGTTCGTTTTTCTGGATTTGGTGCAACAAGTCACAGTTCCGTGTTTCTGTCAGAGGTTCAAGGACTTCTACCACTTGACCTTCAGAAGAAAGGCTCGGTAAATGTCACAGGTAAAACTGAAGGAAAAAGTCAAATAGGAAAATGTCAAGCACACAAAAACCAAAATGTCATAGACATACAATGGCAATGCACTACTCGCGTCCCTTTAAGAGGAGGAACCAGCACAGCGTAATACGTATCCAACTAGACTGCAGCTCATGTTAGAACAGTGGTTTAAAACATGAAGAGAGAAAAAACTAGTCCGTCTAGATTTTCACTCGTCTCGGACTAACGGACAATTAGCTTACAAGATCATCTATAATTAAAATATCACCAGCATCAGGCTTGACCGGTGTCCTTCAAGTAGTGGATACATGCTGTTTAAACACGGTATATTGTCTTGAGGACAAACAAAATGTCCAGAGAGTAATTAATTTTTTGTACCGCTCGATTACTCTCGTTAAGTCGCTTAAGAAGCGGCCCCTTTTGACTGATGGGGTCCTGATGGCCTCTCATGTCCATCTTGTCCTCGTGGATGAGCGAAAATGAGGGACATTGAGAGAGTAGAATCTGTAAGTGTCTGTTCATCAGGACTGCCTAGGGTGACATGTCACGTTCTTTATCAACGTCACGATGTTCTTTGGAGAGAGGGTGTTTCAGCTGCTGTCATGTTTCTTGTCCGTTAGACCACCATCTCAAGGCTGCAGAACCATCAGTAGGCATCCCAGGGACACGTAGTTACTCTGTCATCTTCCTCAGACAACACCCATCCAGGTGGGCAAAGAGGGGTGAGTTGGTAACTGGGTCAGACAAACCTGTTGTTGATTGCACAGGAAGGATACACACAGGATATGCACAATAATATATCTGCCCAACCAATCCACATTTTCGCCCACAACATAGGACAAGTGCGTGCGTGGGTATGTGTATCCTATTCTGCCCTGGAATCGCCACCGGGGTCAAAGAAGGAACGAAACGCACCTTAATAGAATCTCTGTGGTTCTGAGGTCGTTGTTAATATGTTTCATGAATAAAATCACAAACATATCTGCTAACGAACACAAAAATCGTCAAACCGGCAACTGATAGAGTACGACTGTTTGAGTACGACTACGCATTAACACATCGAGGACTTGTAGTCACAATCCAGCTGCGTCCACAACCATTGTGTTCATCTGATCCTCAATTGTCGCACAAGGACCTCCGTGGTCAGATATTAACCGACCTAGGTGTTTTCCAGGTGGCTGCATTGCACAGCAATCCATTGCATAGGGACTTGCTCACATGCGGCCCAGTGTTCCCGGGCGCCTCAATTAGTTATAAAGAGTTACCTCCCTTGGGTACGGCAGACGCCTATGATCATGGGTTCAAATCCAGGATCGTACCTATTATATTTCTAGGCTCGTTGGTAGGTTTGACCAAAGCGATTAACGTCTGAGAACGGCATCACTTTCCTCCCACGACGTGCCGTGACACACCTGAAAGTACTGTCGTATGCGCACTCTTTATGTTCGTAACCACCATCACTGACATTACCACGAAGCAGAGTTCATCAAGTACATCTATTTTCTATCAATCACACTTCTCATTCACCAAGATTGCAGGATCACACACGTTGATCAGATCCTGGTGTCGTAATTATCAGTAATCGGTGGAGAGATATGAATATCTTGAAGTAATTATGATTAATTGGCAGCGTTAGGGTATGTATTGATCAAGCAGCTTGGTTTCGACTAAGATCTATTACGACGGTCGATTCATGTTCTAAATTGTCCATAAGGCTTATTATGGATCAGGAATAGTCATGTTCAGTGTTTCGTGGGGTGGCTGGATGTAGCTGATGCATCTATTGTCTGCTGTGAACAATTTGTAGTTGACCAAAACTGTGCCCTCTCGTCAATGCTTTAGTGAGTGAGTTTAGTTTTACGCCGCACTCAGCAATATTCCAGCTATATGTGGTAAGAGGCAACTAACGGGATCGGATGGTCAGGCTCGCTGACTAGGTTGTCATATGTCATCGTATCCCATTTGCGTAGACCGATGTTCATGTTGTTGATTACTGGATTGTCAGGTCCAGACTTGATTGTTTACAGACCTCCGACATATAGCTGGATTATCGCTGAGTGTGTCGTTAAACAACAAAAAACAAACAAACCAACTTTTGACCATTAACGAAACAAATGCCGAACTAATTATATAAAGACATTAACACAGTGAATAACATACAACAGTAGGCACGTCACTGACGAAACCTACCACCCTATCTAATCTATTAACGCCCCAATCTATCAAACCGTTCACTTAAAGTACGTACCTCGAGGCAAATCTGTTCACACACTGGCGTAACCATTAGGCTGCTTCGTTTATGTTGGATCAACATCTCCACTCAAGCAATGGCCGCGTTCCACAACACGGAATTTTAAACAACTTCAATAATCTTCTAATTCACAAATCCATTACGTCAGGGGGTGGATCAATTTAACCGATATGAACCTAAGATTTAATATCATTTGGAAGGAATAAAAATTTCAATGTGAAATTCAGGAGCCGTTGTTAAGGAGTTAACCTAATTCGCTCAGCTGCATTCGGTAAGTGTTTTGGTCGCATCCATGTGGAACGGGCTAGATGGAGGATTATTGAGGCTAGTTAAGCGTTAGTTTCTTAATGTGATGACTAAACTTCCCACTTGCGATGAATCGTTCGTCCTTGAGATGACATATTTCGCAAACTCATAGTGCAGTGGTGTCAATGAAGGCCATCGGTTCATTTGAAATCTAATCGGAGATTTGCCGGCTATGCCTGACAGAGCTAAACCAGTAATTCTCACCTTCAAGTTGTCAGCTTTCGTGTTTGCATTTGTGTTTTTAACTTAACGATCATTTCAGACAACCAATGACATTTCATCAAAGGGTATTTGCTTTCGCAGTTCATGGTGTGAGAGAATATGCCAGTTATTTCTAATCGTTTCAAACAGTTTTAGAAACACATCGATATAAGTTTTGGTTGAAACAAATAACCATACAAATTGATTGGAATGGACAATCCAGTAATAATGATAGTGTCATTGGGGTTTAAAGTGACATTATTGAAAGCAAATGCTGATTTACCTTAATCATCATTAATCATCATCGATACCTTGATGTAATAGATCTGTTCAGGTGGCGATATTACACGTCGGTCAATTTCAGACATGACCAAACAATCACATGTCATTGAAATACAAATATGAAAAGGATTATATTACATACTCTGTCAAGTATAAGTGGATCATACAGTAATTACCTTTTTGTGAATGGCATTAAAGAGTTTTTGTTAACCCCAATCTCGTGCAGCACGGGCTTAACGCGTTATGAAACGCACGGATTTATGACTGGCGGTTTAGATTTCAACTTGGCTTACTTAATACCTGCATCTCACGTAACAGCGCCGAACGACGAGTCCACCGAGTGGTTGATGTTATACCAGACACGATATACCAGTATACGGTCTCTGGTTATACTCAGTAACTCAGGGTATATGTTGAATACCAATGGGAGTATATGAACATATACTATTACACGCAGAATCTTACACTGCTATTGATCACATTATTTCTTTACATTCAAAGGAAACAGAGAAAGTAATTTGTTCACGATAACATGTATAACATGCTTACTGACGAATGTACATATGTCCGTCATTCTGTGATCTTGTATCACTGTGGTTTTTTTTTAGTATAATACCCCTTTGAAACTTTGTTCACCGTGATGTTGAAATCTGGCTGATGAACCATCATGCTGGTCATGGCGCTGATTTGAACCATGGATTGTCATGTTTAAATATCGTGTTATTGTCATTTATCTAATTTCTTACAAGTAAAACGTGATGTGTCTCCACTCGATCAGATTAAGCTGGTCTAGGAAACAATTATCATCTACAGGAAACCACGACAGGAAACACTTTTTGTTATATTCTCATACATGCTTCTTTCAAATTTCCAGGTGTGTTTTTTCACCATGTCGTAAGACATCAGTGATAAAAGCTGTTGTTTCCTTAATTCACACACATATGATATATATTACAGACCTAGAGAAGACTATGTGATTTGAAAAATACATGGTGTTTATGCTCTTGTGGATGCACGTGGTAGAGTAATGACAAATTAAATAAAAATATAAACTTCAAGTTTTGGTAATGAAAACTACTGGAAATTAAGCAGAACCCAAGACGACTAACTGCAGGCCACAAGAAAGACATCCACAACCCCGTAGCACCGCCTTTCCAGAATGTAACCATGCAAACTGCAGAGACCCTTCTCTAGTGTAACTCCATTTAGAGGTAACGGTAAAGTTCTTCTCGATTGATGCACTCACGTCCAAGAACTTAGAACCGTTTCGTCACAGTTGCACCATTTTTCTCATGTTTGTTATCGTCTGCTTTCATCGTCTCTACGTGTACAACACCATTTGACACTTACCTTTGAAAGAAGCTGGTATGTCCAGCTGATCTCCAGTCACAGTGTAATCATTGGCTCTTTTTTCCCACTGAAGTCGTCTGCCTAAAACAATTTTCCTCCGTCGAACTTCCAACACATGCAGAACGTCATTTTGATCACTCGACGCTGGTATATATTTTGACAAATCCCCTCTATGTATTTTGACATGAAAAGGCAGACGACAGCTCGTCATTATTTGTCGTAAAGTCCTCGGTCGATCGTCCCATACGATATCTTTTGACACATGTTTAGAAACACTCTCAAGCTGGCTGTCGTCCGCCATGTTGAATCAGCTTGACAACAGAATGCAAGTACGTCCCATAGGTAAAATATGATCCGTCAGCGATCTCAGGTCGGTAACGGAGCCCGGGTCATTGTTGACTGGCTCCTAGCGGGATGAACAGCACAGACCCTCTCTCTGTGTGACCTGTGAATACGACTGGTCCGCTCTGTCCAACGGCGCGTGCCCGCTTGAGAGATTGTCAATATTCCTCGAGCACCTGACAGCCAACCAAATCAAGGGACCAGGTAAAAATAGCGAGCCCTGACTTGCTCACAGTTTCAACCGGGAACCGGTTGTGTCGTCTGCTCGCTGGATATCCTATACCAGTTTACATACATGCTAAAGCAGTTTCAATTATTTATTCGATTGATTAGAAAACATACCCGTATTTACCTAAACGGTTGTTAACTGTCGTAACATTGTATTGGATTTGACACCGTTAACCTGTATGGATTACTGCATGTTAGATCATACACCACTCAATTTTTGATAGGGATAATTTCCTCTTCCTATGATACACAAAACGATTCCCATGATATGTCAAGCATATTTAATAAATACAATGACATATCCCTATGAAAAGTTGAGTAGTACATATTCGCATACCGGCAATATATGGAATAGTTGCAGTTTACATAGTGGCCCATTGTGGTTAAAATATAATGTTATGGCATTGGTGGGACCCTGCACATGCGCTCGCTCGTCACGCTGATTCCGGGTTCAGTTTCAATATTGGTGATTTCGTTCATGTTTACACATCGTGTTATTATCGCTATACTGCTAAACTGTCAACTAAACAGCTCAATTATCGGTGCAATAAACATGGCTTATCTACTCAACGGTGCTCGTGCGAAGGTTAAAGGTCACATGCAACCAAAAAATCAAACATAATTAAAACACAATTATCACTTATTCATGACATATAATATACATTGCTGGTTTCGAAAAAATAAATAAACAAAATTATAAGCGTACAATCGCAAATCGAAAGTGCAAAATTGTGTACTTCGGTTTACTTCCCAAGAAACGAAGCAGCCGGGATACCGAACCCAGTCAGAGCGGGTGGGTGTGCACTCAAGTGTAACGGCTGGTTCATTTGCAGATGCCTTCACGGCTAATTGTGTGTATATATATAGAGAGATGTTGGGTTTTGTAAATACATGCTCATTTTTTGTGTATAACATTTTGCAATCAACAGACATCATAACATGTCATGTGTTCAAGTATCACACCTGCCTGTCTGTGTAATTACATAATGTGACAGAGACCGAACTCGGGCCATAAATCAATGCATTTTGTTTATGGTGTATATATAGCCTGATTGGTGTTATGTTCAAATTGCATGTGGTCAGTGATAGCAGCTGTGTATTGAATATTGTCATTAGCAGACAGGCAGGCAGACACACAGGTGTCAATAAAACATGACATTGAGTTTTGTCTGTGACAACGACATATCTATATCACAGTTAGAAATTCTGTCAACGCTAAATAATGACATTGCTTTTAAGTATCGAACTGAGAAAGTGTCTCGGTAAGAAGAACGTGTGGTGAAATAGACAAATGAAATTATATAAACAGTTAATTTACTGTCATAACATATAAAAAAGCTCGCGCCTGTGAGATATCAACAAAACATTAGAAAAATAGCTCACACCAAAGCCTTCACCGAGTATTCACCCGACAACCCGCTTCCAAGCTGCGCGAACCTATTTACTTGCGCACGTGCTATGAGCGCAGCCCAGCTGTTGAAACCCGTTTTCCCCAGAAAAGTCTGGGGAAAATTAGTGAAACGTTTGAACTCCGATTTCGCGCGTTTTTTCTCATCGCGTTATTTTTCAACTTTATAAGTTGAATTTGCATTGTTGACGATTTGTTTCGGTATGTCCATACCGAAAGGTATCAGAATCTGCAAAGTTGTGTTTTACGTTGCATGTGACCTTTAAGGTCACGTCGACATTTAGCATTATGTCATTCACTCAGTATTAACACTTAAGTCTCGTGTCTCTGACAGTGATTCATCGTATTGTTCGTTGTTAAGCGTTTATGTCCTGGCCGGTGAGGTATTACTTACACGGTTCTCTAATGAATTACTTTATAATACCATCTCAGTTTCTTGATGAGGGGTATATGTCCAGTGTATCGCTGAAGATGGGTGTGATTGCGCCTGCTGTAGCCTGGGGTAGTCTGGGGTAGCCTGGGGTAGCCTGCCCTCCACCGACACCCAGTCAGTATTACTGGCAACACCCTCGGGTGTCTACACGGTGGTTGGGATGAGGGTGGAGAGATACAGAGTCAGATTGGTTTATCTATTTAAGAAGATAGTGGAGAGGAATGTGGAAGAAATGAAGATGAAGAAAAAGAGGGCAAAAAGAATGTGTGTGTGTGTGTGTGTGTGTGAGAGAGAGAGAGAGAGAGAGAGAGAGAGAGAGAGAGAGAGAGAGAGAGAGAGAGAGAGAGAGAGAGAGAGAGAGAGAGAGAGAGAGAGAGAGAGAGCAGGAGCTATTCCCTCTAACCTTTGGACTTCATGATTTATGTGCAACCTTCTCCTGGAGAGGGAGAGGCAGAGGGCGAGGGGGTGACATGGGTGTCCTTACACAAAGATACTGATACAGATTCTATTATACACATATACTACTATACATGTTCACGTCTATCTTCGAATATCCTTACCCTTGCTTGGTGCATGTCATCGTATCCCAATCGTGCGGCTGTATGCTCATGCTGTTAATCACTGGATTGCCCGGTCAAGATTATTTTGACAGTCGTCATACAGCTGGAATAATGAGCGCTGCCTTAAGCAACAAACAAACAAACACACAAACACACAAACAAACAAACAAACAAACACACAAATCACCTTCCTTACACGGTCAGGTGACGGAAATATGCTTTGCCGGATATCGAGGAAGAATCATTAAAATAACAGAAACCAATAATTGCTGAGCCCGTTTCAAACCATCATCCCATCCGTACCAGGGGTCCCACGCCCCAGACACCCTCACACCTGCAGCTATCGCACAGGTAAATGTTTATGTCCCTACTTAAGAGGCTATCCCCACTGAACACGGCCTCCTTGACCACTGGACAGCCATCCTTTCATACAGGTCATGATCTGATGCCGCGACAAGCGGCTACCTGCGGCCACTGTCCAAGTCAGGCCGGACATCACACACACCGACAGCCTACATATTCCTCTTGTAAGACGTAGGGTTAACAGGTTAACACGTTGTTGTGGGAATGTAGGCCCGGAATTAACACACATGAGCATAATTGGAATGTACGTATGGTGGAAGACATTCAGAGGTCACTGCTAATCATTTTACTTGATTGTGAATGGTTAAGATGTGATATTATTTATTAATAGCAGACTTGTAACTTAAAACGTTACAGTTCTAAATTCCATTGTTTAAATTTGGTAGGTTGTCAGACATTAATGACATCAATGACATTAATGATACTATATGCATTGTGCACCCCCCTTGAAAATGACATTCTCGTATTCGTAACAACTCCAGCACAATGACAAATAAAAGGCGTATTTTTCATGTACTTCACAAACATGTCAGTAAGGGGAATCATTATTAGTGGTTCAGTAAAGCTTTATTGAACATGAGTGTTAATAATCGAATCCCGGATGGGACTCAACCCCAAAAGTACTAGAATCTGTACGTTACTGAGAAAGTGTGATCCCAAATAAAACATATATTACATGAGTGTTAATACACTGCTGTGATATACTGTGCGTGTCGTAAAAGAATTATGTGAATATATTACAATTTTCGAATAATATTTATTCGAGTAAACACACGAGTACATTTCAGCTATTTACACTCTAATCACGTTAGAATGATGTAATCTAGAATAATCTAGATCAACATTACCGGCTGTGGCTTTAAGTAGATCGGAATTACGGCGACTGAATCCGATTTTGGTCTAATGGCAAGATTTTGCAATTAAGTTAAACGATATTTACACCCTGGGGCTATATGATTGAAATGTACATTTGATAAGGTTATTAAATTTCGATTTGTTGAGAAAAGCATTAAAATCTACTATAGGTTTGCCATTGCATACCTATTATTGAGTGCATTCTCAATCAAACCAGCTATTGGAGATGTTTCAAAGAGCTGTACAGGCTATACGGCTTGCTAATTATGCATTAAGTTTGTCATTTTTACACAGTATTTGCAATGTGTATGAATAAGGTGTGCCTTTCTATTTGCATATTAATCGTTTCTTTAAGGTACATGATCACATTTAGTTTGTCAAGCGATATGATCATTGTTTAAGGACTTGTGTTAATGTTAATTATGAATGGCAACCTTCTTGATAGTCTGACCTTCTGACATATATTTTTTGAAGACACCCAGCCGGGATACCCTGAGAAAGAGAAATATCAAGTACTAGTTAAATATTTAAATGCGCACATCCAGCTACAAAGAGTGGCATGGCAGGGTGCGATTTGTATGTGTTACGCATTACTGGGCTCCGTCTCCTCGGAATTATCGTCCCCCACCTTGGTATAAAGTATTGATAGAGTTATGTGGATGTGGTGGCGATGCGTTCAGAATCATGTTCCAATGGGATGGCGCTGTTTAATGTCGAATTCAGTGATCATATGGTTTAATTGATACACGTGTATTCTGTCTGCCCACAATGTCAGTTTCTGTCTTTGTGTCGACCTCCATCTGTCAGTTTAATGTTTCCGTAAAATAGTTTTGCCACCCTCATTCTCTGTGCCACTCTCTGTGTCACTCTCGTTTCCTTTTTTTATTCTACCTTTCACGTTGGACGACTGTCTCTTTTTCGTTTGTCGTTGCATGTCTCTTTTATACATTTACTGCAACCAACCGTCTCCTTTTATCTTTTGTTGTCACAAAGTATCTCCACCTACTGGCACCTAGTACTCTTGAAGTGGCGACTTAACAAGAACATGTTGATGTATAAAACGTATGGGTAATGCTTTCCAGTGTGTTCCAGCTTGATAAGGGTGTACGAATGGATACCTTAACGTAGCTAAAGCAATAGGCCACAAGTCGTCAACCAAGTTAGAAGTTTCCTATTTTCTTTATAGGTTTCTCCAATTCTTTCTTGTCATCACTTTGTCACGTGTTGTATTTGTGACGTCCATTTTTCATTTTCT